AAGGCATATGTTTAACAATTTGTTGCTGCTTTGAATTGTAAAACATACTTAAGATTTCTTTATGAAAACGAAAAAGAAATGAAATCTACCACAAAAAAAATTCTTAAAAGATTAATTAATAATTGACGTTTAGTTAGCGTGTAACTGAAAGATTCTTTTGTTCATTCACCCGCTAATATCCTTTGAAAAACTTTTTTTTTCTTTTCTTTGCTATATTTATATGAATGCCTCTTAATTTGAATCATAAATACTAATTTAGGAAAATTTTTCGAATGACTTATTGTCAAAGTGACATATGACACAGTTGAGTATCTATTTATATTCGAACTTGAATTAGATAGCTCATGACAATACAGATTTTTATGTCAGTTTAAAGACAAACTCTACTTAGCAAGCCGAATTTTCTTAATTGCTTCGATAGTAGTTGAGAAGAGAAATAAGTTTTTAAGGCTGGATATGTAAAACTAGTATATGGTCTAATAATAGACATTCTATTCAAAGAAAAAATAGAACGGAGTGCGAATTAATAGTAAACGTATCATTTAAAAAACGGAATCAAATGTGTAAAGTACAAATAGGAATTGATATAACTAAATACGTTAACCTGATATCTCTCATTTTCGCCTTTATATCATTCCTAAATATTTAGCACCTTCTTTTTTACCTAATCCAAATTGATAATGTTCAATATTTTACCGCTCTCTTTCTCTCCTTAGTAAGAATTCCGAGTTTCCGATGAAAATTATCTAACATCCATATATTCCTGCCTTTTGCCAGTATTCATTTTTGATTACAGTAAAACTCAGCATCTTTGTTTTCTACATGCAATAGCATTGTTAACTTCCATCTTTTCTTCTTCGTTGAAATTTTTTTTGTTTTGTCTTAATATAACATAAGCAGCACTGAACTTCAACAATTTTGACAGATGTTCCTTGAGCTGAAGCTTCATCCTAAGGTTATGGATGCTAGACTCATTGCACACCCACTCTTTTAGTTGCACGCCTTGTATGTACTATTAACAATGAACTGTGTGAATAAATTCTAAATATAGTGATATTAATCTCTTGGCAGTGTGAAATAGGATTAACATGATGACAGAATCTCAGACATTGACGGTAGAGATGCAAAGAATAGATTTAATGATATTACATTTAATAAAATAGAATTTGCATGCCGATCGACTAGCATATTTCGAAAGAACACTGATGATTCATTATCTATCATCATACAGCTTTACTTTCGGCTTTAAAAAAGTTTGTTAGAAAAAAAGTAGCGCTTCACTTTTGCTTTTCTTTCCGTTTTAATTATCTGGATATGTGAAAAAGTCAAAAAATTATGTTTTTGCTACGCTTTCTGTAAATGAACTAAACCTTTTGTTTAAACATGAGTATTTTTGAACTTCCGTTGTTGAGATAAGCTCGACACAAAATAACATCTTCTAATACGTACGTCGAGAATGCAAGAAAGAAAAAAAGAGAAAAACTAGCGTAGGACTATATTAATACTTTGCTTTGCATCGCATTAACTAATCTATTTCTGAACATACTGCTTGAAGTAATACTATTTTATCTATTCAGTGGAAAAGAAATCCACATGAATACAGGAAGTAACGAGACAGATCGTATCTTCATATTAAAATAAGAAAAATATATATCTTGTCAGCCAGTTTTTTTTAAATTTTTTTTCTTCCTATAATTAACAACATTTATATCAAGAAGAAACGCTTTCATTAATACAACAATCTTTAAAAAGTAGTACTTATGTCGTCTTCGAACACTACTATAAGTTCAGTATTGGTACCAATTGCCGAAACTGATCTTAGTCGTCAAATCAAGTTTATTATCTTGCAGACTATTCAAATACCATCCATTCTATGCTCGTTCTTTCTTCTCTATCAACTCATTTTTAATCGAACCAATCGACAAGCATTGCACAATCATGTTATTATTGCTTTGCTCATCGTTGGTCTAACGACTGCTCTAGTTGATCTGTCTATGATTCTCAACTATCTGCGTACGGGTATGTTCACTGCACAAACTACAATTGGATGTTTGATCTGGAATGTCATTGATTTTTCACTTTATGGTCTAATTTCTCTTTTCATGTTATGGGCATCGATCGAACGACATGTTCTTATTTTTCACGATCGATTAATGAATACCAGGCGACGACGTCAACTCATACATTATGCACCACTTGCTGTTATTCCTACGTATATGATTGCATTCTATTTTATTGTCATCTTCTTTTATCCTTGTGAAAATAATTTCGACTATAGCAAAGTAGTCTGTAGTGGAGTATGCTTCTATGCAGCCAATCCTGCGCTTGCTGTATTCGATCAATTAGCTCATAGTATAATTCCAGCCGTGCTGATTGCCTTACTTAACATGGCTATCATAATTCGATTTGTCTGGCACAAACATCATCATATGCGTCAACCTACAGGATCTGCACGATATCGTAAAATGATCATACAATTATTGCCTATCTCTCTTCTGTATCTGTGTGGTATTGTTCCATATGGATTTCTCAGTTGTATCCACTTGTTTGGTGCATGGGCAGATGTGGGACAGGATGTGCAACTACAAGTCTTCTATTTGTTCTATCTTATGGCTGTTTTGTTACCTTTCATTTGCTTGTCTGGTATGCCAAATCTGTATTCAAAACTGTCTTGTAAGCGACAAGCACAAGTTGCTCCTGGTTTGGAAACGACTAGGCGCTAAGTGAACTCTATATTATGACATTCAATTACCCACTGTTAATACATCCCAGAACACATCTGTATCTTTTGTCACATATCTTTTTTCGTAATCATTCTATATCGTACACTAATTTTTTTAACTCTACTCTGTTAAAAATTGACTTTAAATAAATCAAAGCATTTTCAAACTTTGTTTTTATTCACTCATCAAATTCAAAAGAATCTGAAAGTTCCTGATTTTCGACATTGGAGAAATACAATTTCATTTTCAAAAACAATCATTCTTCAATAAAATGGAAAATCAACAATGAGGGTGTGGGTACTCTGTTTATTCTACGTCCACACCCACACCCATCTTCTATCATGCAATATCTCTTAAAAGTATAATTTCTTCGCACCTATGTATAAGTTCTTTTGATTTTATTGTTCTCTTTTTGAAGAACAAAGAAAAAGGTAATAGAAATCAATTCTTCATCTTATAATGAAAACCTTGGAACAAGGTCGAAAAAAAGATAATAGAAATCTATACAAGGGCAAGCACAATGAAAAAAACTTTCTTATTAACAAAATAAAATACATTTGGATATAGTTTTGATAACAAATGTTAAATACGGTTATTCATTAATAATAAAAAATATATGACTCAAAGGCTATTTCAGGATCTAATTTTACTTTCTCATCAATAAATCGGATTAAAGAATATTTTGTAATCAAGAAAAAATACGATTTTTTCTATGAAGACTTTTATTGCGTCGTCAAATCTTTGCAGCAATTGAAATAGTTTCATTGGTTCACAAGCATCGAAATGAGTTATTTGATGTATAAATGTATGGTGATGAGATAGAAAGAGATCTTTGAAATAGGTATATGACTTACATGTAGGAATTATCGAAATATCATTTTCATCAAGTAGAAAAAATATACAGATTCAGAGAGAGAGAGAATATTTGAGCAATTATTTTATAAATTCACAAACGTTTGCCGTTGAAATGAGCAATAATTCTAAAAGCATCTCATCTCTTTTTAACTGAAATATTTTCTTTTTCCTAAATCTCCTACAACTCTCCTCTTTTCTTTGTTATGCACATACGTACGCTTACTTTATGAAATTTTTGAGCAACATAGCTGAAAAGAGACAGAAAATCTACAATATATTCTAAACAATATTTAAATATTACAATACAAAAAAATCAAAAATAATTTTTCACATTATAAAATCATTAAAATTCACTCATTATTTCATACATAGTAGTCATTACTCTCTTTAATTTTTTTACATATATATGATAAGCTCTTTTACTATGCGATTGATAAGAATTTTTTAGAATTTTTTTTATACATGATTTTGAAAGTTTAGAATTTAATGTACATAAATATGCATAAATTTCTTTTGAATTACACATATGTGCCATTTTAGTATTGAAATCACTGAACACTACAATATGTTTTATTGATTCTTCTACAGCAACTTGATATTTTTCATAAATATTCGTATCAGCAGCAGCTTTTGATGGTAATGAATATGAAGTATTTAATGGTATTGCCGCTGGACATGTGTTAACTAGATCATTACGAATAGGCGAAGCAATACATACGTCACGAGCTTTAATGAATGGATCACTGGTATTCATTGCTGCTGAAACGGTACCTAGAAGAATTTTTGAATAAGTTTTAGGTGAACAACATTCGATCATAATTCGACACATTCGTTTATTTGCTGTTTTAAGTTCATCTGAACTTACAGACCAAAGTTTTTTAATTAATATAAATAATTCGTTTACATCAGCATTAATGATTGATAATGAACGTTTCTTTGTTCCATTGATAATACCAAAGAAAACGATCAATGATAGAATGATAAGAGTACTTCGCATTCGTTTAAAATATAATATATTGGCTTACTTTTGTTTGAATTAATCATCAATGAATAGTAACAAATCAATGATAAGAATAAAAAAAATTGAAATGAAAAGTAGTATTATATTTCATATATGAAAGATAAGACATCTTTGTATGATTTTATTACAACAATATTAAAATCTAAATAAATTATTCATATATAAAACAATATTAGGAAAAGTTATTATTGAATTTGTTTAACTAGAATATCAAAGAATTGATTATGATTGTTGTATGTAAAATTGTTTTTTTTGTAACCAACCAATGATGTATTGTATTCAATCGAAAATAAATGTTGATATTGAAAGAAAATTGTTGAATAATGAGCAAAGAATAGTAAGAAAAGTTCTAAAATAGTACAGGTCGAAGGAGATTATGAATTAAATGATGATTTATACAGAAATTACAATTTCTTATGTGAAAATTTTAGTTATTATGAGTAGTTCTTTATCATAAAAAGAGATAAAGATAGGTAATGATCTTGATGGTGTGAGTCTCTCTTATACTTACACCCAGACCAGTGTGGGACTTTAAATTAGGGTAGTTATAATTCGGGTTATAACTTTTTACCGATTTTGTCAACTATCAACTTTTTAAAAAATAGTTTTAACTCCCACACTGATTTATTCAAATCATCACACGAAGAAATAATTATAATTCATTCACAATTCTCATCTAGATTTTATTCGATCAACAACAATAATTAAACAATTGAAATAAAAGTGATATCTGATTATACAACCTCGAACCTACCAGTTTTTCTTTACATGGACTCATTTCAGAATGTTATACCTTTTATCACGCGCGTAGAAAGCATATGAAAATGACTTGCTAGTAGGAAAATAATAAAGATATTTTTTTTATTTCAAAAACAATATATAACTTGAAAGTGTGTAATTCACTTTAAAATTACAAATCTGGACTATATAAAGGAAAACAGTCATATGAAGATTATCATATAAATTACTGATGATCTGAGTATTCACCGAAATGTTAATCAACAGGGTTTGTTTTGATTAGATTACAGAAGTTTTAAAGAATTGAAAATAATACTTCCAATATGTGATGTAATAGATGGATATGTATTATTTCGATTTTTAAGAAGTTCTTTGATAAATATCACTGGGTTAGGATTGAATCGAGCATGATACAATTCTAATTGATTACGTTGTTCTAGATTTTGAACAAATCCATCAGTTGTAATCGAACCACTTTCAAACAGATCTTCTTCTGTCGTTGTCCAAGGTTTCGGACATAAAGCTAAACATTGACAATAGGCTGTTTGTTCTTCAATATTTTCAAAATAAATTGTACCATTGAATATAAATAATTCAGTCAACCAATTTATAGGCAAACTGAAACCAAGAATGTCATGGGTAGGTGTCAGAAGTGGAGGGATCGTTAGAGCTGGTGAATTAACAAAAATTGATTGATTTTTCTTTAAACGAGGCAGTAATAAACGAAGTGTAGTCATCGAAGATTTGTTCAATTCTTCTTCGGAAGACAATTGACCCATTAACCAATTAGCTTCAAAAGCATTAACAAAAATGATATGTTCATTTCGATAGACAATTAACCAACGTGGTGGACGTAGAAATAAATCTGATGATTCTTCTATAGGTTCAATTACTCTTTGAAATTCTGTTGAAATCCAAAGATTTGGTTGCCAACTATTAGGTTGACATATGTCAAAGAATGTAGAATTAATAAAAGCATATGGTAATGGACGAAAAACTAAAGTTAATTCAGATAAATTTAATTGAGAATCATCCGCGTTGCATAATTGCTTTATTTCATCATGAAGAATTGGTTCACATGGACGAACAGATCGAAAACATTTTTTCTCTTCTTCTTGCTGTCGTTCTTGTTCTTGCTCTTGTTCTGATTCTTGTTCTAATTCTCGTTGTTGTTCTTCTTCAAAAAATTGTGACAAACGTTGTTTTAATCCGCCATATGTTTGAATTCGTTCTAGTACAGCATTATGAATAGCATCTGAAACAAAACTATTAAAATATTGATAACGCATTGTATAAATCTCTGATATAGTTTGCATTATCATCGGTACACCATACATTCGTTTCAATTCAATTATTTCCGATTCTAAACATTTTTCTGCTAAGTCTTTCATAAGTTCTTCTGTATAAGTTTGTTCATGATTAATCCATTGAATATTTCGAAAGGCATTCATTTTTCGTTGAAAACTAAGACTTTGAATAGCCCAATGATGTAATCCATCCCATGTAGTTTGTTGACTATTCATATATACCCAACGTAGAATATCTTTCAATTGACAAGTATCATTTTGATTTACTAAAGTTGTTTTCAACGTGATAATTTGTCGATGTACTTCATTAGAACTCCAAAATATTAATGAATGACCTTCTCCTAATTTACGCATTCTCATACATGCTTGTACAAAACGATCTTTAGTTAAACCATTTCCTAAAGTAACTGCAGCTTTAAATCCAGTTGGAAATTTAAAATCAGTTCCTCGTGTATGTACTTCATCTAAATAAATAACACAACGATCTAATCGTTCACTTGCTGGTGATGATAGAAACGAATGATGATGAAATTGTCGATCACAAACAAATATACAATTAGATTCGAAATAAATTGCATAATCAATTTTTGTTTTATCGGATAATCTCAACCAATGAATTGCTATTTCACGATTTGTACTATCAGTAAATAGAGCACCAACATCAAGAATTACATGAATAATTGATTCATAATTTGTAATTTCATTTAAAATCATTTCTGTTGTAATATCCGAAGGTAAATTTTGATAATTTTCATTTTCTATTTGTAATAAATTATTAATAACAATTGCATCAGTACTTTGTAATTGAAGTAAATCACACTGGTAAATATGTGAAGGTAATAATAATTGTGTATCATTCGTACCACTAAATCCAGTAATAATTTTTGTTCGTTCTGGCGAAGATAAATCCCATGCTGAAGAAATTAATTTATTTGGAAATTGTTTTGCTTCACGAGGAAAAACAAAATAATTTAAAAAATAATTAATAACTAACATATTATATCGTAGAATACAAAAGATTTCATGAATTTCTTCTTCACCATATTTTAAATTAATACCTTTCCATTGTTTAAGATTCGGAGGAATAGTAGTTTCATTTTCTTCTAAAATCCATTCAGTATAAATCGATTCCGGATCTTTTTCTTCATTATTCAAACGATGAAAGCATTGAAACATTTGTAAATCATTTAAACCATGATAATAATATGAAAGTTGTGTTAGAATAAGTGCAGTATCTGGATGACCAAATTCAGTTCTTTCGGCAGGAACATCTTTCGCACGAAATGGTACAGCCATTAATCGATTAAAATTCGAATTATGATTAATACCATAATTAACTCGATAACGTTTTTTCATAGCAACAAATAAAACTTCTTCTGATAGTAAACCACGAATAATAAGAAATAATTGAATATCATGTGGTAAGAATCGATTGATAAGAGTATCTACTGAAGTTGTAATATCGAAAATAAATGATAAAATACATTGCTTATCAATTTTTCGATAAGACTTCTTATTAAGCCAATCATTGATAATTTTTGCGGATAAATCAGGAAATGGTCGATGTGATAATAATCGAAATTCAGGAAATGCACTCTTAGATTTTGGTGATTTATAATAGATATCATTAGGACAACTTTGTATAATATCAAGAGCGAATGTTTTTACTGAATTTAATATGGATTGAATAAATCTCCAACGTTCTATACCACCGTCTACTTGTTGTTGTGTACCAACAGTATAAATTAATTGATATTTACAATGTAGAATTTCATCGGATTCATCTAAAATATCTCGAGCAAATGTTTTTAACCATCGTTGTACAGTTAACATTGAACGACCTATATCGAATTCATGTCGTCGACATTTATCTATCGTTAATAAATCGAATGAAAGAATATCTTCAGGTGAAATTAATATAATATCACAATGACGTAATCCTTGTTGAAGTCGATCGAATATTTGATTAATTTGTTTAGTATTAAAATCCATATCACGACGACAAATAAATGAAAAAATACGTCGATTTAATAAACCACCTAATTTAAATTTTAACGATTGATAATTCGTAGGAAATAAAGATTTTAAAACAACAATACGAACTAAACTTGATGCAGGTGAACATAAACTAAGTGCTAACATTGGAATAATAACAGATGTTTTTCCTTCACCCATATTCATTTGCATAACAATATTTTTTATTGTAGTAGTACTATTATTCGTTGGTTGTATCATATGACGAGCAACATCTACTTGAATTTCACGAATAGTTAAATTCATTTCTAATTCAAATATTAACC